TATATATATATATATATATATATTTATCTTTGTGTATAAATGATTTTGTTAATTGTTTAACCTTTCAGTCTAATATATTTTATCTCTATTTTAAATTTGAATTTTAATAGTTTATTTAAGAAATTATCAATAATTAAAAATAATTTTATCTCAAAACTTAAATTATTGATGGTAAATTCAAAATTTAGTTTATATATTTATTTATTATGAATTTTAACTATAATACAATTTAAACATTAAAAATATTTTTAAATTTTAATGATATAAAATAATTTTTTATCATTATAATGCATAAAAAAATATTAATTTATATATAAGTATTGTCCCACAGCTTAATTTTTGGATCCACCACGGGTAGTATCCGTATTTTTGATAATGTCTAACCTGCGTTACAGGCTTAAAAGTTTGACGGAAACACATGGGTATTGGCTTGAATTTTGATATGGCACAAACCATTCTTGGTTGTGTCATTGAAGACTAGTTTGCAAATCGGGCCTAACTTTATGGCTAAAGGATGTAGAGTGGGAAGATGTTACATTGCCTAATTAAACTAAATTCCCGTGCAATACACAAATGATCCTAACAAGATATAGAAAACCATATTTTTAAGGATCATTTGTCAGCATTTTTGATTGAGAGATTTCATTTTTATTCCTAAAACATTAACTATGTTGCAATTTTCTTTATTTTCCTTTGATTTATATTTAAATCAATGACATTACTTTTGTGGCATTCAAAAGGGCAAATCATTGGTATTCACTCTACTAGTGAATTGGAAAAGAAGTTAAGTGCTGCATCAAAGGCATCACGCTTGGCGATCCTGTATTTTACTGCAACATGGTGTGGCCCATGTCGTTTCATTTCCCCTATTTATACAAGCTTGGCTGAAAAGTACCCAAAAGTGGTTTTTTTGAAAGTTGACATAGACGAGGCCAGGGATGTTGCTTCAGCCTGGAATATTAGCAGTGTTCCAGTATTTTTCTTTGTTAAGAATGGCAAAGAGGTTGACAATGTGGTGGGGGCAGACAAAAGTACACTTGAAAGGAAGATTGCACAACATGCTGACCCTCTTTAAGTGAATACCTTGTAAAGACCCTGATACAATTGACATTTCGGTGTTTCTTCTATTTACATGTCCATGGTGTCATACAAAGGCAAAGATTAATCTAGTTTCATTGTATTATGGCTTGACGTTTCATTGTATCATAAGTATTTTTGAGAACTTTTCTACTGAAAAATAAAATGTATTTTTTTGTAGGGAAATTTTAAAAAATGCTTCTAAAATTGTATAAAACAGATTAACTTTAAAATTTTAAAGTTGATTTT